CTGATGTCCTTGGGGAGGGTGTTCCAAAGTTGGGGAGCCACCACAGAAAAGGCCCTGTCCCTCGTCCCCACCAGACGTGCCTGCGACGCAGGTGGGATTGTAAGCAGGGCCTCTCCGGATGAACGAAGAGAACATGTGGGTTCATAAACAGAGATGCGGTCACGCAGGTAATAATAATAATAATTAAAAAAACTTTATTTTACCCCGCTACCATCTCCCCAAGGGACTTGGTGCGGCTTACATGAGGCCGAGCCCACAATACATAAGCAAAAACAACAACAACAGCAATACAAAACAGTAAAATGAAACTCATAAACAAAAAACAAGCAGTAAAACATTAACAATAGCACAACAACACTTAAAAAACTATGGCTGGGCCAAATGCAATAATTATTTTTTTTAAAAAAATAATAATGCTGAGCATGACCAGGTGAAATATATATATAACTAGGATAGAATTTCGAAGAGGAAGGGGTGTGCAGACAATCCTATTATTATTATTATTATTATTATTATTATTATTATTATTATTATTATGTCATTGTGATTATGCCACAGCTTTTCCTCCACCTTTGGGCAAAGAAGAGGGATCTAGCACACCAGTCCCTACATATTCCTCCATGTCATCTTTTCGAAGGGGAAGGCAGAAATGTCACGGGATGCTGCTACGCAACTTATAGTTTTCCAGTCACTTGTTCCCTTAAACGCTGCACACCAGACCACCAAACACTACAGTAGCAAGCAACGAAAGCAGAGTCCATTCTCAGCAGAGTATAGCTAGTCAGCTTCTTCAGTAAAGTACAAATATTACTTCTTACCTTCTTCCTGCATACTATTTAATACACTCACAGGATTCGGTTGTCATCCAACAGGAGGTTTTAATCTTCGGTTCCGCTATTTACATCAGCTGTACAATTCAGGATCCACTCAGGTATTCATCACACCCTCTCCATCATTCCCCAGGTGTCTGTCACATGACCAGCAGAACTGTATTTTGCACACGAATTAAATACCCAGGCATTTCTATCCAACAAGAAATACGAGTACCCCCTAACTGAAATATCAGGACCCCCAAATGGAAATATGTTGTTGTTCATTTGTTCAGTCGTCTCCGACCCTTCGTGACCTCATGGACCAGTCCACGCCAGAGCTCCCTGTCGGCCGTCACCACCCCCAGCTCCTTCAAGGTCAGTCCAGTCACTTCAAGGATGCCATGCATCCATCTTGCCCTTGGTCGGCCCCTCTTCCTTTTTCCTTCCATTTCCCCCAGCATTCTTCTCTTCTCTAATCTTTCCTTTCTTCTCATGTTGTGGCCAAAGGACTTCAGCTTTGTCTCTAGTCTCCTTCCCTCCAGTGAGCAGTCGGGCTTTCTTTCCTGGAGGATGGACTGGTTGGCTCTTCTCGCAGTCCAAGGCACTCTCAGCACTTTCCTCCAACACCACAGCTCAAAAGCATCTCTCTTCCTTCACTCAGCCTTCCCTAAGGTCCAGCTCTCACATCCGTAGGTTACACATGGAAATATGTGTACTCCAAAATAAAGCAGTCTTTCCATTCCTTTCCCTTGGAGAATAAAGGAAGCTGTTGAGTGGGCCAAGCAGCCAAAAGCACCCCAAGCTTAGCAGGGAGCTTGAGGACATGTTATTCTGAGCAGGAAGGATTGCATCTGGTCATCCTTTCCTTGGGCATCCTTCTCCAGGCAGATCCATTATTCAAATTTGGGCTTATTGGATATCTGTGCCAAATTTGGTCCAATGAATGAGAATACATCCTGCATATCAGATATTTACATTACAATTCATGAGAGTAGCAAAATTGCAGTTGAGAAGTAGCAACAAAAATAATGTTATGGTTGGGGGTCACCACAACACGATGAACTGTATTAAGGGGTCGCGGCACTAGGAAGGTTGAGAACCACTGGTCTACACAAAAGGCAGCAATCATTCTGCACAGAATTATATTCATGGATTCTGTTCAAGAAACAGTGTGAGAACTTACTCTAAGCAAAATTTGACATGGTTGTTTCGTCCAGACAGCAGCATTTTTTTTCCTGGAAATAATATTGTCTGCACAAAATATATTCAATATTGGCTATATGGCCATGCTGTAGAGGCATATTCTCCTGACGTTTCACCTGCATCTATGGCAAGCATCCTCAGAGGTAGTGAGGTCTGTTGGAACTAGGAAAATGGGTTTATATATCTGTGGAATGACCAGGGTGAGACAAAGAACTCTTGTCTGCTGGAGCTGGGTGTGAATGTTTCAACTGACCACCTTGATTAGCATAGAGTTCCAGAGTCGAGGGGCCACCACCGAGAAGGCCCTGTCCCTCGTCCCCAACAGACGTGCTTGAAAGGCCGGTGGGACCGAGAGCAGGGCCCCTCCAGACGATCTTAACAACCTAGATGGTTCATAGGGGAGAATACATTCGGACAGGTAAACTGGGCCAGAGTCGTTTAGGGCTTTATAGGTTAACACCAGCACTTTGAATTGTGCTCGGAAGCTAATTGGCAGCCAGTGGAGCTGGCGCAACAGAGGAGTAGTACGCTACCTGTACCCTGCTCGTGTTAGCATTCTGGCTGCCGCACGTTGGACTAGTTGGAGCTTCTGGGCTGTCTTCATAGGCAACCCCATGTAGAGAGCGTTGCAGTAATCTAAACGGGATGTAACCAAAGCGTGGACCACCGTGGCCAAGTCACCGTGGCACTAGTTATATAATCCAGCTGGTGGTGCATCCACACTGCAGAATCAATACAGTTTGATACCAGCTTGACTGCCATGTGGCTCAAAGCTATGGGATCATGTCACTTAAAGAGCTGCAGAAGAGAAGGTGGAGAGGAGGCATGATGGTCATGTGGTCTCTTCTAACTCTAACCACCTCATGTCATTGAGAAGGGGAAAGAGTAGAGAACCGTCCCTCTTGTATAGTCAGCAGTCCTGTTTCCCATTCTGCCCCCATCACACTGACACACACATGTGGAAACCTAAGAGCTGGCAATACATTCATCTTTTAGATTCATCATAAGGTCAGTATTGCTTTTTGTTTTTAATCAGGAGAAGGACGGGGTGCAAAGTTACGAAATAAATAAATAATAAATGAATATCTGAAATCCAGGAGCTGCCTTGCCCGTCCCAAAGACCCTTCATTAAAGGAGACTGGAACTAGATTAAAACCAATTCTTTCCAGATGTCTTGGCCTTCAACTCCCAGAAATCCTAACAGCTGGTAAACTGGCTGGGATTTCTGGGTATTGTAGGCAGGGGCGGCCCTAGGTAATTTTCAACGGTAAGCAAACAGTATTCCCCCCCCCCCCCAACCAATCATTGATATATATTTTCTGTTTGTCGTGGGAGTTCTGTGTGCCATATTTGGTTCAATTCCATCCTTGGTGGAGTTCAGAATGCTCTTTGATTGTAGGTGAACTATACATCCCAGTAACTACACTTGCCGCACTTGCTCCCTTGCCTGGCCCGCTTTGGGTCCGGAGGCGTGCCTGAAGACCCCGGCGTGTGCACCAAAAGTCACCTCTTCTCCTGACTTTCTCCTCAGCCATTGGGACCGAGAGAGAGAGAGAGAGAGAGAGAGAGAGGTGGAGATGCCCACCTTTCCTAAAGGTAGGCGCAAAAACAAAGGAGGGAGCCGGAGGGGCGCTCTTTCTCTCTCTCTCTCTCTTGGTCCCAATGGCTGAAGAGAAAGTCAGGAGAAGAGGTGACTTTTGGTGCGCACGCTGGGGTCTTCAGACACGCCTCCGGACCCGAAGTGGGCCACCCTTGGCCCACCCGCGGATTGGGGAGAGGAGAGGAGGTGGGTGGAGCGCCGGGGGATCGGGAAAGGGAGCCAGTCATGGAGAAGGGATCAAACGCGGAGAACGATTGAGCGCCAGCTCTGCTCGTGCACCTGCTGGCCGGGTAGAGCAGGAACAAGAGGGGCTAGGCGAGGCTCAAGGGCCCGACCCCTTTGGGAAGAGGATCACCCGGCAGCGAGGCAAGAAAGCCGAGTCTCTCCCCGGACTGCTAGGGCTGTTGTGAGCTGAGGGGGCGCTCCTCAAGTGGTGGTCGAGGGGCATTTACAGAGGCGCCCCTGGCAAAAAAAAGTGTTCTGCGACTGCTTACTTCGCGTAATGGACGAGCCGCCCCTGATTGTAGGCCAACACACCTGGAGAACCACAGGTTGAGAACTCATGTGATGAGCTCCATGCCTCTCCCTGCTTGAAAAGAGGCTGAAGTGTCCTCCCAGGGGAAAATGTCTCGATGGGATGAGGTTGATTGCTGGAGTTCCCTCCTTTCAGGACACTTAGAATCATAGAATCAAAGAGTTGGAAGAGACCTCATGGGCCATCCAGTCCAACCCCATTCTGCCAAGAAGCAGGAATATTGCATTCAAATCACCCCTGACAGATGGCCATCCAGCCTCTGTTTAAAAGCTTCCAAAGAAGGAGCCTCCACCACACTCCGGGGCAGAGAGTTCCACTGCTGAATGGTTCTCACAGTCAGGAAGTTCTTCCTCATGTTCAGATGGAATCTCCTCTCTTGTAGTTTGAAGCCATTGTTCCGCATCCTAGTCTCCAGGGAAGCAGAAAACAAGTTTGCTCCCTCCTCCCTGTGGCTTCCTCTGTCTCCTCTCAGCCTTCTCTTCTTCAGGCTAAACATGCCCAGCTCCTTAAGCCGCTCCTCATAGGGCTTGTTCTCCAGACCCTTGATCATTTTAGTTGCCCTCCTCTACTGGACACATTCCAGCTTGTCAATATCTCTCTTGAATTGTGGTGCCCAGAATTGGACACAATATTCCAGGTGTGGTCTAACCAAAGCGGAATAGAGCATGGGGAGCATGACTTCCCTAGAAGCTGAAGTGTCCTATGACTGGGGAATTTCTCCATGTGATAAGGTGGTATGAATGGTGGTATGATTCTAATGTTGCAATTCTGCACTATAGATGAAGCCCAAGGTTTTTCTGGGCCTCTCCAATGACCTTTTCCCCTCCTTCTCTCCTGCTCTTTCCTGTAGACATAACGGAGGCCATCTTCGACTTCATCCAACGGAGCCGCAAGATGGTGGTGGTGCTGAGCCCGGAGTACTTGCTGGAGAAGAGTGTCAGCATGCTGGAGTTCAAGCTGGGCCTGCTGTGCCAGAACCACATTGCCACCCGGCTGGTGGTGGTGGAGTACCGCCCGCTCCAGCGCTCCCACCCCAACGTCCAGCAGCTGCGGGAGTCGGTGCCCTTCGTGACCTGGAAGGGAGAGCGCTCCAAGCGGCCGGGCTCCAAGTTCTGGAAGGCCTTGCGCTTGGCCTTGCCCTTGCGCAGCCTGAGTGCCATGGCAGGGGCCACCTGGAACGAGAGCTGCTCCTCCCATTCGGACATCAGCCCGGACCACGTCCAGAAGAAGAAGGGCCGCTTGAAAGGGCCCTCTGCTGCCTCCGTCCCACTGCCCCAGCCACAGGGGCCAGCCATCCCCGTCCAAAGAGGGGTGGCCCCATTGCCCAGGCTCAAAACCAAGGACCACGGCAAGCCTTTCCTGGCCTGCCGCTGCTGTGTGGCCTATTGCAACGAGAACCATCACAAACTTGGGGGCCACAACCAAACCGTGGCCAAGGCCAAGCGGGAGACACAGTTCTCCAGGCCGCTGGCTGGAAGCTGCGTGGGACGGAGAGTTTCCAACAGCGAGAAGCAGCCGCCTCCAGCCTCGCAGCCGCCTGAGCTCAGCCTCCGCCATTACGCGGACTTGTCCAACAACAATGACTTTTATGTCCTCTAGCCAGCGCTTGGAACATAAGTATTGAAATGCATCTCAGTCCCTGCATTCAGGGACAAAGGAAAGAGGGTTTGCCTCTGGTGAAGAGTGGCCTTTGGGGGATAAGGAAAGGAATGAAGAGAGCGATGGACTGGCACCCAAAGGTGCCCAGGGAGCTTTCCAAAGAATTCGGAGCATCTGCTTCCTTCTAAAGAAGGTCTGCAAATAGGAAACATTTCCGATCTTCTTTTATGTTCCCAACCAGTGGCTGGAACATAAGTGTGGAAACAGGTCTCCGTCCCTAGAGTCAGGAGGCTTGTTGACACTGACTGTTTGGAGTTGGGTTCAGAACCAGTTTGACAGCAGCTGTGCAAATGATCGCATTGACATGTCTGGGAGAGGTTTCAGGTCAGGAAGGAGATGACAATAACATCAAAATGGTGGGTTGTTGTAGATTTTTCGGGCTATATGGTCATGGTCTAGAGGCATTTTCTCCTGACGTTTCGCCTGCATCTATGGCAAGCATCCTCAGAGGTAGCGAGGTCTGTTGGAACTAGGAAAAGGGTTTATATATCTGTGGAATGACCAGGGTGGGACAAAGGACTCTTGTCTGCTGGAGCTAGGTGTGAATGTTTCAACTGACCACCTTGATTAGCATTTGATGGCCTGGCAGTGCCTGGGGCAATCTTTTGTTGAGAGGTGAATAGATGTCCTTGATTGTTTCCTCTCTGTTGTTGTGCATACAAACTATCTACAAACCCACCAAGAAAATCTAACAAATGCTATGTTCACCAAAGGACAAGAGGAATCCTCTCACTTCTGCAGGAGTCTACCGTGTACCATGCAGCTGTGGACAAGTCTACAGAGGGACCACCAAATGCAGCAGCATTGCCCAAACACGAATCAAGGAACATGAAAGGCACTGCAGACTGCTTCAACCAGAGAAGTCAGCCATAGCAGAGCACCTGATGAACCAGCCTGGACACAGCATATTACTTGAGAACACAGAAAAGCTGGACCACTCCAACAACCACCATGTCAGACTACACAGAGAAGCCATTGAAATCCACAACCATGTGGACAATTTCAACAGAAAGGAGGAAACCATGAAAATGAACAAGATCTGGCTACTAGTATTAAAAAATTCTAAAATTGCAACAGCACAACACCAGAGAGGAAACAAACAAGGACATCTAATCACCTCTCAACAAACGTTTGCTTGAGGCACTGTCAGGCCATTATATGCTAATCAAGGTGGTCAGTTGAAACATTCACACCTAGCTCCAGCTGAATGGAGAATGGAGAGTGTGTGCTGCTGCATGCTATTGCTTTCCAAAGGCTTTGGACTACAGCTCCCATCAATCCTGGCTTGGCAATGGTTGAGGAAGTTGTCAAAGGCTTTCATGGCCGGAATCACTGGGTTTTTGTAGGTTTTTTCGGGCTATATGGCCATGTTCTAAAGGCATTTTCTCCTGACGTTTCGCCTGCATCTATGGCAAGCATCCTCAGAGGTAGTGAGGTCTGTTGGAACTCTAAAAACTCTAAAATTAGAACAGCACAACAACAGAGAGGAAACAAACAAGGACATCTAATCACCTCTCAACAAAAGATTGCTCCAGGCACTGCCAGGCAATCAAATGATAATCAAGGTGGTCAGTTGAAACATTCCCACCTAGCTCCAGCAGACAAGAGTCCTTTGTCCCACCCTGGTCATTCCACAGATATATAAACCCTTTTTCCTAGTTCCAACAGACCTCACTACCTCTGAGGATGCTTGCCATAGATGCAGGCGAAACGTCAGGAGAAAATGCCTCTAGAACATGGCCATATAGCCCGAAAAAACCTACAACAACCCAGTTGAGGAACTTGTATTCCAAAACAGTTTAAGGCAGGATGGAACATACTTCTGCACCAATTTATGGGTATGTGTCTGCACTGTGAAAGCAATGTAGTGCAATACCATTTCAACTGCTATAGAATCACAGAATCAAAGAGTTGGAAGAGACCTCATTGGCCATCCAGTCCAACCCCATTCTGCCAAGAAGCAGGAATATTGCATTCAAATCACCCCTGACCGATGGCCATCCAGCCTCTGTTTAAAAGCTTCCAAAGAAGGAGCCTCCACCACACTCTAGGGCAGAGAGTTCCACTGCTGAACGGCTCTCACAGCCAGGAAGTTCTTCCTCATGTTCAGATGGAATCTCCTCTCTTGTAGTTTGAAGCCATTGTTTCGCGTCCTAGTCTCCAAGGAAGCAGAAAACAAGCTTGCTCCCTCCTCCTCCCTGTGACTTCCTCTCACATATTTATACATGGTTATCATGTCTCCTCTCAGCCTTCTCTTCTTCAGGCTAAACATGCCCAGCTCCTTAAGCCACTCCTCATAGGGCTTGTTCCCAGACCATTGATCATTTTAGTCGCCCTCCTCTGGCTATGGCTCAATGCTATCCAATCTTGGGAGATGTGCAAGAAAGTGCAGCAAACTACAACTCTCAGGATCCCGCAGCAGTTCAAGTGGTGCCAAACTGCATTCCTTGTACAGTGCAGACCCAGCCTTGTGTTTCTTTTACCTTTCAAATCTGGAGAGGGTTTTCCTGGGTTAGTCAAGGGCTCAAGTCAAAACACCAAAACAAAAAAAATAAGATTGGTTTGCTGGTGAAAAAAAAAATAATGTACAAAATCCAATTTAATGATGTGTTTCGGATTTTTTTTTTCAAGGGGTTGATGAAAATTAAGATATTTCATTTGGAAAACTTGGTGACTTTTGCGTTGGCAGTGTTGCCATATTAAAAAGCATTTTGGTAAATGGTTTTTAAATACTTTTTCCTTTTTGAAGATGGAGAAAAAAAATCTGGCACGATGTTTGAAACACTATGGTTTGGAATTAAAGGATTTTCTTTTATTTCTGGGAAAGCTTTCCAAACCTCTGTGTTTTCGCACTGTGGTTAATTATGGCCCATTTCTCCAATGTGTTTCTCTTCCATAGGTTGATTTCTTGGCATCAGTAACAAACCCCCAGGATTCCTTTGCACTGTGTCATAGCAATTAAATTGATGTCAAACTGCATTCATTCCACAGTGCAGATGCATCCCTCATTACCATTTTAACTGCCATTGGTCAATTTATGGTTCTTTTGCCATTTCAGTTTAGTCCTTTTGTGCTGTCACACGCTGGGCCTATAATAATTGTCTTTTGAACAGGACGTGCTCTTTGTGCCCAGCGGGAAGCTAGGGTGCCTCGAGTGAGAGGCCCTAAGGATTTTCCTATATAAAAGTCTCTAGATGCTTGAAAAGTTTATCAAAGTCCTTTATTATTGCTTAAAACTTCAACAAACAATCAAATGATTTTTAGATCTTTATCAAATCAAACAAATGCTCCTTAACTTGTCTACAATAGATAGGCACCTTCCTTGGAGAAATGTTTCTATCCTTTACGAGGAAAACCCTTTTTAACCCCTCTCTGGCAATCTGCTTTCTATGCTTGCTGGTGTGGGCTCCACTCCCGGCTCCAATTGCTTCTGGTTACCCAAGTAGACCTACCAGTCAAGGCTCTGTAGATTCTCCAGCTGGAGTTCTTTTGGCTCTTTTCCACGAAAGATGTAGAGCTGTTTTCTCCGGATGCTTTAGGGCTGTTTCCCCCGGATGCTGTGAGAAACGAAGCTTGTCTTCAGATAGAGCTGATCCACGTCCTGTAGCTAAGCTTTCCACTATAAGACTGAACTAAAATGGTTCGCTTTCCCTCCCAGAGCCCTGGAAAAAAAAGGGTGGAACCAAAACTTAACAATGATAGACAGGTGGCTAGCCCTATGACTGCAAACCAAGGGAAATCACCTTTTGCAAAATGCATGGAACCTTGGGATGCATGCAAACACTCAATAGGAAGAAATGAAGTTGGAGCTCCTGGTACTGCCGTACCAGCACACCTTTGAATTTTCTGATAGAAAGCTCCTACAGTTCAGTAGTTCAAAATAATGGATGAGAGCCTTTTCAAAGAAGATTCCAAGTTCCATCCCAAACTGCAAATCCCAGGATTCTGTAAGGCAGAGCTATGATTGAGAATCTGCAAGTTGCTTCTGATGTGAGAGAATTGGCCTTCTGCAAGGATGTTGCCTGGGAACTCCTGGATGTTTTGATGTTTTATCATCCTTGTGGGAAGCTTCTCTCATGTCCCTGCATGGGGAGCTGGAACTGACAGATGGGAACTCAATCCGCACTCCCCAAATTTGAACTGCCAACCTGTTGGTCAGCAATCCTGTCATCACAAGGGTTTAACCCATTGCCCCAGCAGGAATGCTGACCAGCACAATTAGTTAAACCCTTGTGCAGGCTATGCAGAGGCGGCCCTAGGTAATTTTCAATGGTAAACAAACAGTATTTTGGTGCCCCCCCAACCAATCATTGATATATATTTTCTGTTTGTCGTGGGAGTTCTGTGTGCCATATTTGGTTCAATTCCATCATTGGTGGAGTTCAGAATGCTCTTTGATTGTAGGTGAACTATACATCCCAGTAACTACACTTGCCGCACTTGCTCCCTTGCCTCCCTTTGGGTCCGGAGGCGTGCCTGAAGACCCCGGCGTGTGCACCAAAAGTCACCTCTTCTCCTGACTTTCTCCTCAGCCATTGGGACCAAGAGAGAGAGAGAGAGAGAGGTGGAGATGCCCACCTTTCCTGAAGGTAGGCGCAAAAACAAAGGAGGGAGCGGAGGTGGGAGATACCTCCAGCCGGAGGGGCTCTCTCTCTCTCTCTCTGGTCCCAATGGCTGAAGAGAAAGTCAGGAAAAGAGGCGACTTTTGGTGCGCACGCTGGGGTCTTCAGACATGCCTCCGGACCCGAAGCGGGCCAGACGCGGCGGCTCCGCCCCTTGGCCCACCCGCGGATTGGGGAGAGGAGAGGAGTGGAGCGCCGGGGGATCGGGAAGGGGAGCCGGCCATGGGGAAGGGATCAAACGCAGAGAACGATTGAGTGCCAGCTCTGCTCACGCACCTGGTGGCCGGGTGGAGCAGGAACGAGAGGGGCTAGGCGAGGCTCAAGGGCTCGGCCCCTGGATTGCCCGGCAGCGAGGCAAGAAAGCCGAGTCTCCCCCCAGACTGCTAGAGCTGTTGTGAGCTGAGGGGGCGCTCCTCAAGTGGTGATTGAGGGGCATTTACAGAAGTGCCTCTGCACCCCTGGCAAAAAAAGTGTTCTGCAGCCGCTTACTTCGCGTAATGGACGAGCCGCCCCTGAGGCTATGATAATTAAAGTATTTAGACTGCAAAACTATGTAACTTTATTGGAATGCTTTTAATATAAGCTGCTTTGAGTCTCCTTTGTGGAGAGAAAAAGTGAGGTATAAATAAACATAATAATAATAATAATATGTATTGTCGAAGGCTTTCATGGCCGGAATCACTGGGTTGTTGTAGGTTTTTTCGGGCTATATGGCCATGGTCTAGAGGCATTCTCTCCTGACGTTTCACCTGCATCTATGGGAAGCATCCTCAGAGGTAGTGAGGTCTGCTGGAACTAGGAAAATGGGTTTATATATCTGTGGAATGACCAGGGTGGGACA